TTTTTTTGTTCTACTTAATAAGTTGCCTACACTGTTTTCCGTCAGTTTTTTTGTACTTCTTTTTTTTCTGTTAGCTTTATATTGCATAGTTATAAAAAAAGCAAAATAGACCAGGAGTTTCTATAACTGTTCAAATAAGCAAAAAAACTACAGTTTGATAAGTAACAGAGAAAGAACAACGATGGATTTAGCGTAAGAAAATGAGAAAAAGTGTCAAAGAAAATCCAATCTCAATCTCTCCAGCTGTCTTTTTTCCTTCTTTGACGCCTAATTAAGTTAGAATGAGATATTTTAGAATATAGGGTACAGGAACAGTAGCAAAAAACGAGTTATTGTAACAACAAGACAACAAAAGAATTGTAAAACACAACAACTTGTTTCATCATGCCCAGTTTTTTAGCTGAGCTAATGTTTCAGTAAAAATTTAAAATTTGAAAGAAAAAGGATCAAAATTTTAACTCGAGGATTAAAATTGAAAAAACTTTTGTTGCTACTTTTGTTGTTGTTTTGGCTCAATCTAAGCTGATAATTTTGTAGGGGTAGTAAGATCTGTGAAGCAATTGATCAGTTTGCTCAACTATCCGCCGGTGCAATGCAACTTCGTCAACCGTTGACAACCTGCGATAAGCTAACCAATTCCGATCATACACTTTACTTACTCTGGGATACTGTCGAGTTAGTTCAGTATAACAATAACAACAGCAACAACAACAGTAGAAAGAAAATTTTCAGGAACAAACTGGATCATTTTATTTCATTAGCGCTATTTTTGTCAACAAATTTTTGCAACAAAAATGGTCAAAATTTTCAACTACAGTATTATTAGTGTAGGTTGAAAGGTATAAAATGGATATAAAATGGTCAGTAAGATAACGGTAGCTGAACTTTATAATTCTTCAGTACTAAAAGCATATAGCTATTGTGTATATACTATAGTGTGTAATTTTTTTCTTTATTTATGACATCAATTTTGCGTAAACCGTGAAACCGTATCAAAATAACTGAACAAGGCATCTTCTTCTTTTCAGTTAGGCTATTCTAAAATCATTTAGCAGCTTTTGGCTGCTGAGGTTACTACTGTTTTTTGCAGTTGGCGATTAACTAAGATGAAACAAAAAAAAAGTGATAAACTTTCAAACAGTTCAAATTACAAATAAGTAAGCAAACTGAATTTGATTGACTAATTGTTTAACTAAACTAATCAACAATAAATTAAAGCAAAAAACAAATTAATAAACAAGGTAAAAAATTTTGTGGACTAAAATGAAGTTGCAATAATTGTAAAAAGGAACAAAATTTTTTTTTCTTATTTGTTTCTTTCAATTAATTTGAGACATTTTTAAAAACCATTGATATTAATAATGAACCACTGGTGTTTATATCCGTTTGTTCCTTTTTCTTTGTTTTCGACAAGAAGAAGGGAGAGATGTGAAGTTAATGAAAATTTTGAAACTTCATGAAGCTAACATAAACATAAACATCGATAACTATTGAATGTTCTTTTTAACATCTAAAATGATCACCAGGAAAAAAAGAAACAAAACAAACAATTAAAGTGTTGGTCAAAGTAAGCATAAGGAATTTAAAGTCTAGAAGTTGTTTTGGATGTAAACTGAGAAGCCGACCAGGAGGAAAGACGGACGAATAATAAGAGTAAAACGATA